CGAGCATCTGAGCAGACTTGAGTTCAGGAGAAATTATTAATAGGGAGGTGGAGATAATTCTTGCTAGATAAAAGGTAGGTATTAGCTGTCACTGGAATGACTCGTCAGGTGTTTCTATGACTCAGGTAATAACTCGTCTGGTGGCTCTATGACTCAGGTTGTGACTCGTCAGCTGTGTCAAACACTCAGGGAATGACTCGTTTGGTGGTTCCTCTATATTCAACCTTTTATGTATGCCTGACTTAACCACAGGTTGCATCTGTAAACATTACGCTAAACACTCAACGCAATACTCAAATCGCTCCCTCGCGTCTTCACATAACCGAATATACACGCTTAAAGACGAGACTTCCTAACACGCATCGACGCTAGACGTCAGATCTGTCGAAGACAATGAAACGCCGTTCCCACACGAGAGAGATAGAGCAATGGGAGGAGTGGGCAGAGTAAGTGAGTAGTCTCCCGGGACTTTGGAAAGACAATAGGGCCATTTATATGTTCAGAATATCGGGCAGGGATTTGTGTGGTCGATATATGAAATATGGCCGGCTCCACCGCGGTGGTGTTTTCATAAAACGGTGTAACTTGACTAGGAAACTGTCAGGTAGAGAATTTAGGAATGGCTGCGTTTCTCATTTATGCTCAGTTCTTTCTACATCACATGTAAATGCCGTAGACATTGTTCCCTTGATTGAACGTAATGTCGGTAATTATATCGCAATTTCCAAATACTCTAACCAGTAACATATTCTAAAAATGTTCCCGTTAACGCCCGTTCACAGCCCTTCCCCTCTGAATCTAGGTCAATGGTCGCAAACGGGCGCCGTCTCGGCAGTCGCCAGCTTCCAGGCAACTGCCGTGGAAACAGAGTAGAAAGAGAACATGGATAGAACAGCCACAAAACAAGGATGGAACAGACATGGCATAGAAATAGGGCAAGGAGCCATCAGTGGGAGGGTTGGAAAATAGAACATATGCGGAGGCTAGATAGCCAGAAAATTTAAAGAATATGAAAACAGACAATGCCAAATAGCAGGGGCGTCGACGCGTAAGGAAAACTGGTCCGACTTTTTCTCGGGGGGCCCCACCGGTGGGGGGGCCCCCGCGAAGGGCCCCGCGAAGGCGCAGCAGGGCCCCGCGAGCCGCAGCGGGGGGCCCCCGTTGCCGCAGCAGGGGCCCCCCGAGAGCCCCAACAAGGGCCCCCCGCGGCCGCAGAAGGGGACCCCGCGGGCCGCAGCAGGGCCCCGCGGTGTCTAGCAGGGCCCCAGAGGCGCAGCAGGGCCCCCGCGGTCTCTAGCAGGGCCCCCCGAGCCGCAGTAGGGCCCCCGCGGTCTGCAGCAGGGGCCCCCGCGAGCCACAGCAGGGCACCGCCTAGTCGAAAAAGTGGTCCGACTAGTCGGAAAAGTCGGACCGGTGTCGACGCCCCTGCCAAATAGAAATAGAATAGGACCAGAGCAAAAACGGAGCCCCGGAAGAACAGAAATTGAGCAAAGCCATTGGGAAAATATAACCGAGGAAACGGAACGTAGAAAGACACGGAACAGATGCAGAACAAGAGCAGTTTAGAAACCAAACTAAGAAAGAAAATGGATAGAGCAGCGACACAAGATAAAGAACTAAAGCTGATCAGAAACGTAGAAAAGCGTCACTCTCACGATTAGAAGCGAGTCGGTCTGGGCAGGCACGCGGCTGGGATAGTCGAGCACTACGGACTGGGGAGATCCGTTAAATTGAAACGCCGGCTGCTTCCCAAAGGCATCAGCTGAATTTTACGATCGCTTCCAGATTCGACTAGAAAAATGCTGAATCAGTCGCATGGTTTGAGCTATTCGAAATAATTTAGCCGTCTTTTTTTAATATCGTCATGCATATTTCATTGTGGTTTGATTTAGCAGGCGAATTACAGATTTCAGTTGGAAAGAAATGAATTGTTTTATTAGTTTTGTTATAGATGATAAAATGACGAAATATTCGCTGCCGGTCCCAGTCCAGATGATATGTTCAAGCTGAGAGAGGGGAGACCTGTAGAAAATGGGTCACATCCATGGCCCTTGGGCCTGCATAAGTAAATGAAATATTTTTTCTTTTAAATGTTAAAGTTTTTTAGAACTTTTCTTTTCGAAAGCATACGTGCTGTTCATGGATATTTTGTCAAACAATTATCACTTACAGAAACACTTTGGATAAATACACTTGCTATGCAGTGGATAATGACAGCAAAAAGCCGTAAAGGAAATGGACAGCGTATTGTTACGCAAACGTTTCTTATAGGTATCTTGACGCAAACCACGGTTGCAGATTGTTAAAATAATAATCGAAATCAAAAGGATCGGTCACGTTCCCAACTACCCAACCCGTGGCAGAGAATTCGCAGCGATTGTAGCCAGTTTTATCGTCTCTACAACCCCCTCTATCATGCAGCATTCACGCTATCTAAACGCACTCCTATTTTCTGTCCTCTCAATCATCGATTTTATTTCTGATCTGAAGCACAACATTCGTCTCGACAGACCCGGACTAGAAAACCCTCGAGGCTACAGAAAATCCATCATAATTTCCATGCCATTTTAGGCATTCTTGCATGTCGAGATCCATTTTGTGAAACAAACGCAGGGAAGGGGAGACGTTTAGATATAATTGACATAAAGATGCATGACGGATTGCAACGAAGCGTGAGAAATGGTAGAATGCATCTTCATCATGCAAAATGAAGCTAGGAGACGAATGAGACTGACAGTAATAAGAAACTTCAAGTTCTTCCCCTAGAACAGAGAACTTCCCCCTTCAAGTTCTCTGTTTCCCCCTGAAACAGAGTATACTCTGTTTCAAGGATGATGGCCTTAGGATGCTTCTTACAGCTTTTTAAGTGCAGAAATAGCGAAACCAGTTATAAACATTCATCGGAATTCGGAACTCTTTCTACTCCTTCCTGTGGAAAGATTTTTCTCGTCCAATGGCCAATGTTTCTGAGCAATGGCTTTTGGTCTTCGTTTGTATGGGTATAGATTGTACAAAAGCCTTCCTCATCCAAAAGCGTATGATTCCTTTGCATATGTAGTTTTTTTTTAAATTTTGCATGCCGGTTGCACTGAGGCATACCGGGGAGGAGAACATATGTAGGGATTTGTCTCATCCATAAACATTCCTGAACAACAACAATAATTCGTCTTTACATCATACACCGATCTCATAATTACCAGCGCATGCCCTTGACCCCGTAAGATACTTCATACCACAAAGAAACCTCATATCACAAAAAAAAAATCCGACAAATCTACCACGAAACTCTCAACTAACTCCCAAACTATCCAAACTTACAACAAACTCACCAATCTTACCACAATAACTCGCCTCACCAAACTCCTTGATGTCTGAGATGATCGCAAGATGTGGTGGCTATGACTATTTTACCCGATAATTTGCTCTTCCCCCGAAGGATTCGAGTATATCGCTCACGTATTACAGGTTCCCCAAACACCACTTTTTTATTGACCGGTGATTGTGTGTTGTGTAGCTTACAGGAGACTCCGTTCTTGTATTACAGGTTCGGCATACATTGCCCACGGTTTCCAAGTACTCAGGACGTACCTGTCCAATCGAAACTGGTACACTTCAACATTGTTCCCTCTGCATACGCTGTGTCAGGTACGGGTATATTATGTCAGTGACATTTGTCAAGATTGTGTTTCAGGCATGCGCTATTTCAAGCGCACCTATGTTGTCAAAACGGTGTTTCAAAGTCTCATTTTTTAGTTTAAATCGCCATTAGATCTGCTTTGGTAAGCATCACCAGGCAAATAGAAAACGAAAGAGCTATTTTAGATAAATTTTATAAGAAGAAAATCCGTTAAATCACATCGACACAAAAAAACGCACCACCAACTAATCTCCACAAATCCCCGGCTCGGATTCGAACTCACGACCTTTCTCTTACTTCGCCAGGTGTCAGCAGCCAACCAGGGCGCTCTGGAGCACTACACCTGCCAATGTGTGCTACCAATCAACTTGTTCAACGAGAAAATATTCGGAGTCTTGTGGTTTTACGTTGCAGCTCTGCTACCATTAACTGTTTATAGCACGCTGATTTGGCTGTTCAGATCATCCCAAACGTCACGGAGGAGTTTTGTGAGGTGAGCTATTGTGGTAAGATTGGTGAGTTTGTTGTGAGTTTGAATAGTATGGGAGTTGAAAATGAGGTTTATTTGTGGTGCGAATAATCTTTGGGAGTCAAGGGAATGCGTTAGTGACTATGAGATCGGATTTCCGGGATTTTTTTTTTTTTTTTTTTTTGTATGGTCGTGGGCTTAAGTGGCAAGTATAATTATATATGATGTTTCTGGTACGGGGACCCGCAGTTGCTACTGTACAGCGACCCTGAGTAAATTGTCCCAGCGCCCTCACAGGGAACAACGATAAGCTGTCAGAGGGCACGCACAGAAAACCTCAACTGCTCTTGTACAGTCTGTCTTAAAAGTACCGCGCAAAGTGACGGTGGATCCATCAAGCCTGACCGAGAAAGGGCCTGTTTTAATTTAAAAGTCACCGACCAATTGACCTAGGGAATGGACAAGGATGCCAATTGCTTCGGTGACCCAAATTTAGCAGGCCCTTGCTCACTCAGGCTCGATGGATCCACCGTCACTTTGCGCGGTGCTTTTAAGACAGACTGTACATACAGGGACCGGCAGTCGATATCAATGCTATCGGTTGTTACTGGACAGGATAGACGGCTATAGTTGGGGTTCGTGTACAGAAGCAACTGCGGGTCCCCGTACATAACCTAGGTTACTGCTGATCAAATTTAAGTTTTACTGTGCACTGGTATATTTATTTGCGTTACATTTCCCTAGCCTGACCATCTATCACCTGTATTTGTCCCAATTTATGAAAAATCCTCACTAACGACTATCTTATCGACTTAAGCACATTCTTCTCACTTCAATGCCTTCCTGTCCTGCCCACACCGAACAAAGTGCCGCATTTGCCGCAGAACCACTTATCTGACCCCAAAACCCTCAACTTCTCCCGCCATACATCAGCCTAATCCCCAAACGCTTAACATCAGCTCTAGTCTAATGACCTGACCATAATACGCCGCAATATTAAACTGGCTGTGAAATTGGCGATCTAATTCGTTTTGAAAGGCGTAAAATGGCACTGGGGATCAGCCGACGGTCATTGAGACACAATGGAAATGACCCAAATGACGTCATTGGAAACAATGGGAAGGGCCTGCGGTGGCGTCATTGGGAAGCGGAAATTTGGAAGGAACTGGTTGGACAGAGCTAAAGACCTTTGTTAGTGTTTTGACGTGCACATATGATCAGATATTTTAGCTTTTGCTGTTGTTATTGAAGTAAATGAATGCTGAAGAATCGTTTGTATGTGAAAAGCAAGATAATAGTTGATTTGATAAATGCACAAACATGTGTTTTCATAGTCATTTGAAGAGTTGAATAACTGATCATCTTGCATAGGATTGATTTTCCTACAGACAAAACAGTTATGGATAGACTACTTTCATAAAACGTAGATCTAGGGGCTAGTTGACATTTTCATCTCATCCTTTCCTCCGGAGTACGATATTGAGTTGCATCGAACAGCAATTCCTAGTGGGTTAGTCGAGCAGTATATCTCAATTAATTTAGCCAATTATCTGCTGAGCGGAAAATATACGGCCCAAACCTGACCAGTTGTAGGCCAAGTGTTGTCGTCCTCATCGCATGGGACAAACAACTTTACAATAGATTACGATAGAAATAAACCTAAACAAGGATAAAAAGATCGCATGCTCAAAGATACCATTGCTTGCCTACAACAAGGATGAATAGGTTGGTTTCTCAGCCACATTGACCACATTTGACAAAGTTGATTTTATCTTACCTCGAATCATTTCTCCAAATCATGACCTCATTAATTGGATAGTATAAAGACATATCATTGTCATAACAGTTTCCTTTTTGTCCCCCTTCCTAAAAAAAATCGTTTTCATCCCTTTTGTATCACCTCAAATAGGTACCATTGCGCTTAGCGAGCCTATGCTAAAATCGCGTGAGAAGTGTGCAGGCTGCAATGTTTGCTGTGACCGCTAGAGGCTGTGTAATGACTTTCAGTTTCACCCAGCGCCGTTGTGGCTTACCACCGCGTGACTCATTCTCGCTAGACTCTAGAAAGTGATCATATGGTGTATCTTTTGGTACGAAACGGGCTGTCTCGGGAAAATTACGGGGCGAAAGCGTTTCGTTTCTGACAGGGGAGAGACCACAGGTGACGTGAAAAGGTCTTACCTGACCTGACCTCAACTGACCAGATATTTGTTAGCACCATACACTCATATGCAGCTGTTTGGATGAAATGTCACATTATAGCTCTGGCCTTGATTCGTCTGATCTGGGACCTTGTGACTCTAAGTGACCTCACCTGGCCTAGCATGACCACACTTTGCCACAGGCTGTATCTCTGGCGAAATGGTCAAGGGGACGACCAACGTCGACTAGTCTGCTTTCATTTGCCCTGACCTGACCCAACCTTCACAGTCACGGAAGCACAGTTACTGAAGAGCGCAGTTTGGCCTTCTCATGTCAGACTGCCCATACCCGCCTTGCTCCAACTCTCCCTGCCCTGAGCTAACCTTCTCTGACCTCAACTGACCTGACCTGACCTCCTCCAGGTATTACCTGTGGCGGACAGGCCGTATGGAGGGTGAGCGTCTTGATCGGACGTGTCGTAACCTCCTCACCTATCTCGGCTACGATGGTCTACTAATTCTGCGACTCATCGAACTCAATCACGGAACTGCAATCCTTACTCTCATCGTCGACAAACTCACCGAGTTTCATGACCTTCTCGAGGTCACAAGAAGGCCCGAAGAAGGAGTTTACACCGCTTCTTCGTATCTTTCGCTGTCGACTACGAGGCTTCTGAGCTATTCCGGTCAGCGAAATCTAGTAGCGGATGTGTGTAATGTGAGCCCGGAAGGTCATCGAGCCTGGGGTGGAAGGTCAAGGTGTGACCTGACCAGGTCAAGGTCAGACCTGGGGATTGGAGATCAGAGTCCGGAAGGAGGAAGAGTGGAGCCGCCGAGGAAGAGAGGAGGAATGAGAGCAGGGAGTAGGATGAATAAGAGGAAGAGCTTTATGTTCTTCAGATGAAAAGGTTGGCGTTGATCAGGTGATGCAGCTGAAGCACTGAAAATCTCTATGTTCAACCATTAACAAAAAAAAACGATTTTTTCTCCCCTTTTAGCAATAAGGTCTGCTCTATTTATGAGTTGTGTATTTGCCTTTATATTGGAGAACTTCGTCATCTTTCTCTGGAATCTTTTTTATGCTGCTCTTGCTTTGAAGACCTGGATGCCTTTGCGAGAAATTCAGTTTTTCTTCATTTTCATGGTTATTTTTGTTTAAATTGTCTCAGAGCCTTATATTATTGATAAAGAACGCATGCTTCAAACATGACAAGGTTGGACGTTCTTGTCTGGAAGATGAAACGGAGCGCGAAGCACGCAAAGATAAATCCAGCGAGTGCAATAAGCTCGACGAGCGAGAGTTTGAGAAACGTTGCTAGATCTCACAAGATCTCACAGACGTTCTACTGCCGAATAGTGACATTTTAGAGTATTCTAGTGACATGAGAATTGTTTAGCGCTGCTTCCGTAGCTAAAAACCACAGACTGATTAGTGGTCAGCTCAGTGCATTTAGTGAAAAGTCGCAGAACACTAGTAAAAAGTGTCAAAGTAGGACGACAGTGCATATGCTCGGAATGCCAAAACGCAATAATGAGGTGTGAAATGGCCAAGGTGGCCTGCCTTCACTCTACCATCCGCTTACCAGATGTGCCAAGGTCTGTCGGATGCTGCAGATGTGAAAGGTGTGCTGGTGTCAGATGTGCCAAGGTATATCTATTGATGCCAAGGTCTGTCGATTGCCAGATGCGACAAGGTTTGTCGACTGCCAGATAAGCCAAGTCCTGTTGGTGGCCAGGTGTGGAAAGTTGTGTCCATTGCTAACTATGCTAAGGCAACTTGTTTGCCAGATCTGCCAAGGTCTGCGCGTTACGTCTTTTGGCAAGGTATGTCGGCCGCCAGATATGCCCAGACCCCTTGAATGACAAATGTGTCACCTTGCTGGGCGACATGGCCAGTTGGTATCGGATGCGTTGATGCCAAAGAGTATTCGCCAGTGTGTGCGTTACGAAAAGTGTCGTTTACCACATGTCAAAGCCACTGGCAAAATATGCCAAATGTCTCAGCGGCTGGCGTTATCTGCCTATGTCTGTTGCCACATGCCGGTTGTAGCTTTGTCGGGTTTTGCCAGTTACTAGGCGAGTCAGTTGCCAGATATGCGAAAGCATGTCGGTTGTCAAAAGCGTCAGTTGCAAGCTTACTTTGCGAAACTCTAAGCTGCCGTACAGTATGTATGTTCTAGCTAAAATGTAATTATCTTTATCCCGCGCACCGACGGGGGTCTGCGCCAACTTAGTACCGACGGGGGGGGGCGGATGACCGCCCCCCCCTGAGATCTCGAGAACGAAGCAAGATAGCGACAAGCGGTAAACGGCATCGGATACGCACGGACAAGGTCTACAATTTTTACTAAGGTCATTTTCAGGTCAGGTCAAAGATGACGTCACAGGGGTCGAAAAAGTCAAAATGGCGGCGCTAGATATGGAGAGAGTTTTTCTCGAATAACTTTCGAAGTAGTCAAGATAGGAACAAACTAAGGGCATCATCGTGATCCTCTCGTCAATCCGCATCGAATGATATATATGTTGACCTCGAAAGGTCAAGGTCAAAGGTTGACCTCAGGTCACGTGACCTCGAGGTCATCATGTATATCATTCGATGCGTCTTGACGAGCTGAACACAATGAGACCATCCGCGCGGCTGTATCTTGTTCCTGTAAGGAGTTATTGGCAAAAAAACCTTTGGTGACCTTTGATGACGTCACATGACCTTACAGCTGCCCAACAGCAAAACAGACCTCAAGGTAGTGAAGGTTGATCGTATGTGAAGTCATGTATGGTATATGGGGCCATTCCGACCCGTTTTAGTGGTAAAAACAGGGAGTTGATTTTTCCCCCATTGACTTATAATGGGGAGGTCGCGAAATTGACCTGACCTTAGGTCACCGACATCAAAATTCCGAGATATACAAATTGTAGCTACTAATGACCTAATAACATCCTGCGACTTTCAAAGGCCTCCGACATCTACTGTAGCTCTGGCACGGTGACAAAGTTGCAAAAAAGTGACTTGAGGTTGGGTCATTCAAAGTGACCTGGTGACCTGACCTTTAAAGTTAGGAGGTTCAAACTTGCACACCATGTGTAAAATTGATGAGAGAATAGTCATACCAAATTTCGCGGCGCTACGCGCCGCAGTTTTCCCGCTATCCGCGAAAAACCTCAGGGGGGGGGGGCGGATATCCTCCCCCCCCCCCGTCGGTGCGCGGGTTATCATTGGGTCTCTAGCTTCGCGATATCATACGCTCTTTCTTCTTTCTACTTTTGAAAAAAAAAACTTGCATTTATGACACATTTTATTACTATTGAGTGACTCATGTGGTGTTTCGCCATTACCAGCCGTAAAGGCTTTCACAGCAATAAGAAAATACAAATCAGATGCAATGAATAAGTACAGAAAACGCCACAGAATACAAATGCAGCCAGCTAGATTTGGTTCATAGTTTAAAAAAATACATGAACGGTTTCATAAATTGCTCTAATAAAGATCGAATGTAGTGGATTCGAAAAAAGAGTCAAAATGTCGATTGTGTAGAAGGTAACTTCAACCGTAGAGTAGCAGTACTGGTTTGAGAACACGTTATTAGAAGCTGCCTTAGACAGTTATAGTAAGACTTTAATTCACGTTGGATTTAAGGCAATAATTTGGATTACATATATGGAAAGAACGAACAGCAATACGAGTAGTAAGTATGTGAACAATTCCATAGAATATCATTGTGATGTGCATGTTGTCAATCATTCCCCGAGTGAAAGATAATGAAAAGTTTTTTTTTTCTTGACAGGATGACTTCTGTAGCACTTCTGTGTATCGTGTCCTATCAATGACGGATTCAGAAGGGCGCTAACGAACGCTGCATGGTATATATCGCCTAAAAACGATCTCGGAGTTATGTAACTCATACGATTTCGTGTTAACCTGCGTAGCTGCGGGGTCATTTGCCCCTCGCGACAAATAAATTCTGAATCCGTCAATGAATCTCATATCTATCGTGGTTGTTTGTTTATTAATAATTTAAGTGTGATGTGTTTAGTGTCGTTGCTGTTATTATGTCGACAATATTTGTTTCTGTTCGGTGTTTTGGTGTTATACCATGTGGTTTCCCGAAGTAATGAGGTTATAAATAAAGCGCGCAGAGAGGGTGTGATCTGATCCTGAAATTCTCTAAGAAGAGACACCAGCAGCGTGCTCGTATCACACGGAATCCATCGTTCTACCCACTGACCTTCGGGACCGGCTTACAACACATGAACATTGACCACATTTACATCAAATCACCAGCTCTGCGAAACTGTGACTCGAACGCCGCCGTTATAAAAAAAAAAAACTGAACAAATATGCTCCGTTCCTGAGTTGCCGTGATTGAAGTCTTTTTTATAACGATATTTATTTTTACAAAGAAGCACTAACACGCAACATGATAAGAAAATTCGCCTTTTCACGTTTCTCATCATTCCCAATATACCCGCTGACCGTGCTTCACATTACACCCGGTGAATTTCCTGGTAAAACCCCTTTATAGGTCGTAAATAGGCCGCGATAAGCTCCAGTCGTAGTTATAATTGCTCCCATTGGAATGCAAATGTTGTCATAACTGGCCGCTTATGGCTGGTCTGGCTAACCCTGGTTTTCGTTTGGTCCGGGACTATGTATATTTGCATCACGGCTGAGGGAATTGGATCGCTGATTTTAGTTAGCTTTGAAGGAATTGTCACAAAGAATGAACATAAAATGATATGTAATTTTGTTGCAGATACTAGAAATAACAATTGAAGCACAGCTATAGCACAATCAGAGACAAAACGATACAGGGTAGATGCATCACATAGAAACATAATAGGGGAAACATAAGGTGAAAAATCGAACGGCATTACAGAAACTGAGCAACAAAAATAGCAGGGGAGGCAAAACAATATTTCAACAGGACACACACACTTTATGCCCACACAGTGTAATAAGTCAAAGCGGAAGCCGGTGATGTGGAAGAAATCTCACGCCGTTGCGCCGGTTTCCCACCACAAAGAAAGTATGTCCTCTGCAAACATTGCGCTAGCTCTCCTATTATTTGTGTTGATAGGGTGTATGAAATTCAATAAATAAAACTAAATCTTCAATATTAATTTCACACTCATAAAGTATTTGTTTAACCTTTTATTCCACAGGAAAACAAAAGGTAGGTAATATATGCATTGCTCTAAATCAATGCTTGATGTAGGTACCTTGACTCACTAAAAGATACGATAAATCACTCCGAAAAAAAAATACAATGATAGAAACACCCCAACGAGACAACTCCCGTGTTATTTCCACTCAATCAGTCCACCCATCAGCCTCTAATCACATCTTTCAATACACACGATATAATAACTCAACGCGGAAACCAGTAATCCGAAAGAATCCCACACACGTTGCACCAGATTCACACCATAAAGTAACGGGTCCCAAAATGGAATCATTGCAAGATGCCATTCTCTGCAGTGCGAGCCGGAGGCAGTTCCGAAGGTTAGCCGATAGGCGGTAACCACCATTACTTTCACACGTGAGCTGGCAACGCAAGAATGGTGTTTATGGCACCTTGGCATGAATCAGGGAAGGATAACCGAAGGTTTGTTGTCGATAGTTAAAACACTATTCTTTAGAATTGTGTTTTTCTATTGAAAAACAAATCTGAGTTCCCTGACAATTTGGCAAAGCTGCCTGAGATCAGTACAACTTGATGCTCGAGAAAACGGCTGTTCCAAAAAAAAAATCTGATTTTTTCAGGATTTCTAGTGGGCCAGGTGATCTACGTTCTAGTATGGGTCTCCCCTCCGCGGACCATCTGGTGCACGTGCCACGTGACTTTGAAAATTCCCGTGTTAACCCGCGCCCCGTAGGGCTACCGGCGGACCCTACCACCCGTAGGGGGGGGGCCGTT